AGTTGCTCCAGTGGAGACAGTGATTGTGTAGAAAAGACAACTTTCCATGGATACACACAGTTTGACAGAAATCGACCCTGTCCTCTTTGCTCCTCCTCCAGGTAGGGGATCAGATCATAGAGATTAACGGGGACAGCACTCGTGACATGACTCACGCCCGTGCCATTGAACTCATCAAGGCGGGTGGCAGGCGGGTCAGGCTGCTGCTAAAGAGAGGCACGGGACAGGTGCCAGAATATGGTGGGTTTGCCCGACACAAACTGACGTCTCTAAATGTCCAACCCTTTCCACTCTGTCTCTCACATTAGTCTCTGACCTGATCTTTTCTCACTTTCATACTAGAGATTCAATGTTTGAGGTTCAACATTACTGTGTTTTAACCAGAATGGCATTTATTTCTGCAAATGCTGTATGTTTTACTCAAGAACATATTAACATGCATTAATATCTCTGCATTTTACTCCTTCTACTCTGTCATCTGACTTTAAACAGGTCTCTATGTGAAAAACAATTTTAATCAAACAGTAGAATAACAACTTGCTCTCTAGCCTTCGTGTGTTGTAACCCCTCTGCTTTAAGTCTAATGATTGGTATAGGCTTTTACTTGCCTTCCCTTAGGAATGGTACCTTCCAACCTCTCCATGTGCATGAAAGGTGACACACTAAGCTCCCCCTATTTCTTCCTAATGGGCCACTCTAAAGACACGGTTTGTGAAAAACTGCACGTCTTTCTCTCCATACTGATTAATCTTTGTGCTCTATAGATGTGCTCTAGGCATGCATTCATATGTGCATGCTCATGAGTTTATGCATGAGAAAATAGCAGCCGTGTGTGTGTGTGTGGGTGCGTGTGTGTGGGTGTGGGTGGGTATGTGTGTTGTAGTAAAAGAGCAATATTTTGAAGTGATTCTCAGATGAAACTGTGTCCTGAAGAGGGCTGTGAAGTAGACTGTGTCACTCAACTGCAAATATATGAATTCTTTTCAGGCACCGAATAAACCCTGTCACACATGCCTGTCTGTAGATGAAGTGTAGATTTATGAGTTATTAGGTGTAACATATCTTCTACATGGTCAGGTGTTTGCTGCTTTCACACATTTGCATGCAAGTTTGCCTGACATTATATCAGGATGTGGTGTGTCACTGTGTTGTTGTGTACATCTTTCTCTCTCTCTCTCTCTCTCTCTCTCTCTCTCTCTCTCTCTTCTTTTTCCTCTTCTCCTCTTTCTTTTTCTCTCTCTGTGCATGTGCATGCTGGTTGTGCCATTGTTTTTTCATCTCAGTCCACCTGAGTGTGTTTTGTTCCTCCCCAACAGACTGTGCCAGCCCCTGGGATTCCCTTTCTACAGCCCACTCTGCCCTGCAGGAAGTGACCCTCGAACCCCACCCGAATCCATTGCTCTCATCCCATCCAGCCTCAGCCCCAGACTCCCCTCATCAGCTCCCTCTAGAGGCCACAGTGTGCATGGCAGACAAAGCTCCACAGCTGACAGACCACAGCTCCATTAGAGGGGCTACAGGTGGCAGGTCCACCCAGCAGAAGTGCATCATCAGGGGGCAGGGAACCCCTCAGGGGTCTGGAGAGGTGGACTGTGGACCAGGCGACAGACAGCCTCGGGCTTTGCCTACTAAAGCTGTCCAGGGGAGGTCCGTTGAAAGACGAGAGAGGCAGAGGGAGGCTTGCTCCCCCTGCTGTGAGAGAAAGGGCCTGCACACACAGGCGGTGAGCACTGTCTGGCCCTGGGACACATATGTCAGTGTGAATTCAAATGGAGCCTCTCTGGCCAGTGCAGATGGACATGTCAGCCTCCAGGAGAGGCTGGTGTCCAGAGGTCTATTCGCTAGAGAAGACGATAGGGCCAGTGGCCACAGTGGGCTCTGCTGCCCCGCTAAAACTATGGAAGATCCTCCTGCGAGGAGTGCAGCTGCCTCCCCTGGGCCCTGGAACGTCCCTGGGTCTGATAAACTGCCTGGCACCCTGAGGTCCTGGACCTCCACAGTAAGCAGGTAGAATGGATCTAGCTGGTTTGGACTGGATCACACTGTCTGGCTCCTCATTCAGTTCACCATTGGATGAACAGTAAATCTCCCTTGCTCTCTCTTTCTGTCCTGTTTTCTTCTCCATCTAGTTCTTAAATCATATTTTGTTTCATTTGTTCTTACAAGATGATTATTACACCCACCACCTTAAAAAACAGAGGAACTCTCACAGCTATTGTAACATACAGTATAAACCCAGATGGAGGCATTTTGGACCCACGGTTGTAACAGCTGATGTTCTGATCACAAATGAAACCCCGTTGTCTGATTCTGAGTGGAGCTGTGCTTTTGATGCGTACTTTTAACCGCTCAACCGTATCTGGCACAGATTGGTTAGTGCAACATAACCTCAGATGGAACAAGGTTCCTCACAGGAGAGACATATGTACAACCAAGAGGTTTACTTTTGCTCCATTTTCTCTGTGCAGTGGGAAGAATGAGACTACAAATCTGATGGAGGAAGTGACGCTGAAACTCCTGGAGGACATGGCACTGACCCGAGTGACAGCCTGGTTAACGTGACATATGTTAAGATCTCACACGCCTACCAATATATCATATACTGTAAATGTAAAGATGTGAAAAATATGTACATTTGGTAAACTCAAAAATATACCTGTTGGTGTTTTTTGAGGCCGTGTTGTAGTTAGAAACATTGTAAAGAAAAGAGAAAAAAACACCAGGACAGTATTTTAGGATCACTATTTCCATGGCCTCGTCTATGACTACATATCAAAGACTGTGCAAGTCACCAAACCCAGACTGCTGAGGGAGGCAGTGGTCGTGTGCATGGATGTAAACCACCATGTCATTAAACAGGGACTCACATGTCTTTTAGAGGTAGAGTATAGAGAGGACATCCTCTGTGGAGCTGACCAGTTGGTACTCATATGAGACAAAGAAGATCTTTTTTCCATCAAATTGAACTTTTGAGTGACTGACAACAGTTGGCTTAGTAAGAACTCATAATACTGTTCTGAGTTATGTACACCAGATCACAAGTCAACCATGCAGTCATTGTGCAGAATTATAAGCTGTGCTGTATTCATTTGATGCTCAACAGAAAAAGTTTGTCCAGTCTATATTTCCCATTTCTATGCCTTTTTACTGTGCTACGTGTACCACATCACTGTGGGAGAGGGGCATCGGTGTGGGGAAGAGGAGGCCGATGGTTATGAGGTGGGGCAGAGTGCCTTACTCAAACTAATGCAGAGCTGTTGCCGTTGTGATTTGCTTTGGGAACTGAATGCAAAACAGATGTTAGTGACCATGCACACATTTCAGCAAAATGTTGAGTTGTGGAGCCTGTTTTCTTCTGACTTAATACCAAGCAGTATATACAGTTATCTTGATGCACTCTCAGCTGTATAGCTTATCAGTGTCAATGATTGCCGTTGTCCCCTAATGTTGAAGAGGAGATAAAATGTAGCCTGTAGCATTACATCCTCTTCTTAGAGAGTCATCCGGGAGAGTCGAGCTTTGAACGTTTATCCAGACAGGGTTATTATCTAAGTGAACCATGGTTTCTGTTGTGTCAGATGAGTGTCATTTCAGCTTTATTTGTCTATTCCACACATTTGCAGGCAGTGACAATACTCTGAATCTGAACCCAAGATTTTTAGATGATCTGTGAAATATCCGTTCGATCGCAAAGTTTTGTCACTGGCAGAGTCGAGGCATGCTGCTATTAAACTGAGACACAGATGAAGTCACTATCCCCCTGCATTTCTCCATTTTGATATCATCCATTTCTCTCAACAAGATATTTGCTCTCATTAAAATTAATCACAATAGCTTTTGAGTACTAGAGGATCATATAAGTTTAAAAAAAAAAAATAATCATAATGCATTGTGACAATGTGACTGAATGCAGCATGAAGGCAGAAACCAACCTGTTCTTGTAAACTGGTATAGACCAACTGGTAAACTGCTTTTAGCGAGACAGTGCACCTGCAGACTGGGACACTAGTAAGAACTTGTGCATAAAGCATCATCAGGACTGAACTTGACCCACACTGGTTTCTGGGTAAAACGTGTGGTCTGGATGTTTTCTGAGCTGACTTGAAAAGTTGAATACACCTGTGGTTCATGTGATAAACTGGTTAACATGTTAGTGAGGAGCATGAGAACATGCCGTTTGGCTGTAGAAATGTGTTTACTCTATGTAGGTGAAAGAATATGTCATCCAGCCCTCTGTCTCCATCCAGGCCGTCCCCCTGCCTGCTGTGAGTGATTTTGTATACAGAAACAAAAAAATGCTTTATTGGAACCTGTGAAGGATGGCACGTTCATAAATCCCCATTGAGATCAAGTATAACTGTGTAGTGTTAATTGTGTACTATTCACCTTGTACAGCTGTATTCCTACAAATATGGTTTACTGTATCATTGATACTGTAGTTTCAAAGACGTGAACAACTATTTTTATGAAATGCGACAGTACTGATATATTACATTTTGCTAAAAAACAAAAAACTTGTTTACTGAAAGATATTCTGAAATACTGTCAAATAAACTCTTGACATGGTGTAAAATATTCATTTCTAGAGATTGTTTTACTTATAACCACAGTGGTGAGACTAGAGCTGAAACTATCAGTCAGTTAATCGATTGACAGAATATTAATGACCAACAATTCTGACAGTTGATTAATGGTTGTGGTTGTTTAACCGAGCAGAAATTACATATTCTCTTCCAGCTTCTCAGATGTGAATATTTACTGCTTTTCTGTTTCATATAAAATTTAATATTTTCAGGATTTAGACTGTTGTATTAATTGGACATAACAAGACACCAGAGGATGTCACCTTAGGTTCTCAAAACATACAGTGAGAGATTTGATGATTTTCAAAAGTTTTTGAATATTTTATAGACCAAACACCGATCATGTATGAAATAATTATTGATTGAAGCTTTGGGTGGGATTATACCAGAATATAAATACTAACAATGGATCCACAACATGTTGAAAGTTGATTTTATTTAACAAATCAGTCTCTCTAGTTGCCACAGTGAGTACAACACAGGCACACTTGTGGAACAATTTTAGAACTCTTAGTCTTTTCACTCAATTCCCCTTTAATGGCCCTGCACACCCACACAGGTTTTTCCTTTATTGCAGCTGATTAGAACTCGTCAGCTTGAAGTTGAGCAGAGCTATACTGGGCGCTTTCTGAGGTCACCAAACTGCATGAAGGAGTCTGAAAAATGTCCTGCTTTTTCACAGGTCAATCCTAATCCGTCAATCAAGTGTATAAACAAAAATGTAACCCAGAGAAAAGGTCAGGATAAATGAAAATCCCCAAGTGGGTATAATGAGAAATTTAATACCAGGTACCGTCCATTTAATGAAGTCAGACCTACAATAAGGATGTAAATAATTTATGCTGTTCAGTCTGGTGTGGCCTTCCAGCGAAAGTCACAAAAAATTAGTGGAGGTATTGATTACAATCCTTCCAAGGTGGATGAACAGTTATGTCAGAATCACCCACCCAATAAAGATTTTTTTAAAAGATAAAAAATATTTACACATTTCTGAGCAAAGCAGGGACACATTTTCTATTAAAAACAACTTGTAAACATTTTCCCAGCATCTCACTGCTGACTGGTGGGTTAGGCTAAGATGGTGAGCTGTCAGTCGGCTGCAGCTGAGCTGCTGCTGATGTCTCATTGTTGAGAGTAATTTTCTGGAGGAACTGAGGTTTCACTGTTTTCCTGCACATCCAGAGGAGCCTCCTGGGAAGGAAGAACAAAGATTCATAATGATAACTCCAAAAGAGAGTTAAATTACTCTTTTCAGTTTGCCAATAGGTTTTAATTCAAGATGAATACCCTGTCTGCAAGGTTTACAGTCATGGATTCACTTACCTTAAGATGTCTGTAGATTCCCATTTGGAAACGACAGCAAACTACATCCACCAAGAAGCCAACCATACTATGGAGCATACCTGCAAGAGAAAAAAAAGATCCAACATTTAGATGCTGATGCTCATGACAGCTTAGATGAGGTGAAAATAGCTTGGTTGAAGCTGTTAAGTGTATTAGCTGTAGCTTTTATAGGAGAGGAAGTGCAGGTCTGCATTTGACAGACATCCATAAATAAAACAAAGTATGGTTTTTATCTCTTTCCAAGCAGCTTAACACTATAAGACAATGTCTACCCTCACACGCAGAAATATTCTTCTACCTTTTTCTGAAATACTCATCACCTCCTCCCATCATCTTCAATATTTCTGAGGAATCCAGCAGCCAGCAATCTCACATTAGATACATGTAAAGGTGACAAGTCCTACTTTTAAAAAATCATTCTTGTTCATGTGTTCAGGTGCTTGTAAGAAGCTAAATAAGCTAAGAAGCTAATAAATAACATATATAAATAATATAATATAATAATAATAATAATGATATAAATAAACATGGACACTGTTAATGTGGACTGGTAGTTTACCGTTTTAAATACATGGGTTACTGTACACCTGCTGACTCAGCTGCATCTGCAAATGTGCCTACAAAGATTTTTCCAAACAGTCCCTGCTTACCACTGCATTACCTTGCAAAAATAGCATTAGTAAGACTAGAAAAGAAATAAATAAGGTGAAATAAATGTTCCCTGTGATAGATTACTTATCTCTGAAAGTTGATAATCACACTTGCAGTTGATGGCTGCCCAGAAGTCAGGAAAGCAATCTAAAAATTTTCTTACAGTATGATCTACAGTGGGGTCAGCATTTTAAAGTGTGGCTGAAAACATCATAATGCTCCAGTGAGGTCTTTTAATATGCATCTGGTACTCAGTGAAACATTTTACCGGTTTAGGGAGTTTATCTACCTGTGGTAGAGAAAATGCCTCCGATGATGCCACAGAGTCTGACAAGAAACTGCCAGAGGGGCATGTGCTGCTCAGTGACTTTGACCATTAGTGAACTGATATCATACTTCATAAAGATCCCAGAGACTCCATGGCTGCCTGCAGCATGGTTTATCACTCGTTCCTGCAGAACAACAGGAGGAATACAAACACATTCACCATATGGATAGATATTACACAAATATACAAACATGAGCAAAATGAAAACATACCCGCTCAGTGACTGAATACTGATGTGTGTCAGCAGAGACCTGGTAGGTATTCAGCTTGGTTGGCACGATGGTGACAAAGTACTGAAACATGTGGTTAGCTGGAGAGAATGATCAAAAATCCGTCAATGAAAAAGAAAGCATATCGAAGCATAAATGAAGATAAAAATGTTTGACAACACAGACGTACAATCAGCAGTGACTTTCTCTGTCCCATCCAGTGGGTTGATAATCCCAGGGATCTCTTCTCCAAAGGACAGGTGGTCAATTCGGTGAGAAAAGTTATAAGCTGTAGCACAATGCCAAGTAGTCAAAACAGTTATTGTCAACATTTTGTGTGTCATTGCAAGCACAACTTTAATATACAGTGTGAATATCATCACCATATGGTCAAAGTATGAGAATTTAAAGTAGTTAGTTTGTTAAAAAGATAATGAACTCACTGTCATGGCTGACTAGAGCAGCTAGATGGGCGTGGCCTCTGGGATGTGGGATGGACCTGTGGAGGGATAAAAAGTTCTTCTGTCTGTCTAACGTTTGATAAAACATGCACAGGTGTAATTCTTGCAAAATGTCTAATTTCTACTAATTTATCAATTTATCATTATGAGCATGTTTATAACCATGTGGATACGTACTTGCCAACAGTAATGTGGAAATTTCCTGCCACCTTGTTAACATACAGATGTCCATGTATCCTGCAGGCACTGAGGGAAGTGGAGCTGTCCTCACTGTGGAGAAAAAGAGAAACACAGTGTGGAGGGGATCATTTTATCAAAGTATATGGAAGGTTGAGTACTTCTTGGTTTATCATTGTAATCATATTTTCAGCCATCTCTCAACTCCAAACAGAAAACGGCTTATTTTTAGGATCCTGTACCTTTGAGGCTGAGCAGGAAGAGCTCCTTTTATTGCAGTCTTGAAGAGCACATCCTGAAGAGAGTGCTCCATTCTCAGACGCTCCTGAATGTGCAGAAGAGTCCTGACAGTGAAGGACAGAAAAGTTAAGAAAACAAGGACTCACTTGGAGTGAGACCAAAGCAATTCAATGGATAAAACAGCAGTTAAATATTAAAATCAGTACAAATCAGGTAAAACCATATTGCACCAATGAGTTTACTGGTTTGTATAGGTAGAAAATACCTTTTGATGTCCTTTTTTACTAACTACTACTACTAATTTACTAACACTGCTACCTATTGATTAGAGCTCTAACAATTAACAGATTAATTCATTAACTGACCAAAAGAAAAATAACATTTATCAATGAATCATTAGTTATTTTAACAACATTCTGTGTAATATTAACATTGTTGAGTTTTGGTTGCACCAACAAAACAAGCCATCTAAATACATCAACTTGAGCTGCAGAAAAGTTATTTTTTACTATTTTGTTATGTTTTATAGACAAAATGATGAATCAGTTAATTAAGACAATAATTGCCAGATTAATTGACTATGAAAATAATCATTAGTTGCATCTCTACTACGAATGAGAGAGAGAGAGAGAGACCATAGATTGTATTATCTCCCATTAAAAGGCAACTCCTTGCAGAATGTAAATAACATAAGCATAGTCAAAATGTCACCATATTCCTTTAGGGAGTGTCCTAGATATTACAGGTTCAAAGAGTTAATTTGAATCTTACATTTGCCATAATCTTTGCTGTGGGGAGAGTTCAAAGTTGACCTAAAATGTAAAATAAAAAAATTGTCAGACAAGTATAAAGAAGCATTACCACCAAAATATAAGGGATTAAATAGGATTAAAGGAATTTTGAAGTTTAAAACCTTTAACTTTCCACTGACAAGTTTTACTTTTAGCTCCTCAACTTCATTATTCAGTAAATTAATTGTAGTAGCTGATACTCACTGGTTCATATTTTAAGCCATCAGAGGCCACCATGGTTTCTGCCAGATCCAGGACATCTGCACCTATATCTACATTCATATATACACACAAATTAAAAACACATCTGACCTTTCTCAACCAAATATGAATGAGTGCTTCTTTTAAAATAGAGCTAAAAAAAATACAATGTAAATTTCTTGTACTTACATTGGCATCTCATGGCAACTGTAATGTCAACATTTATCTTGAGTTTACTGTGAATGAAGGAGAACTCAGTTGTCAGTTTATTAGGAACACCTAGCTAAAAACTAATGCAGTCAAATACAACAGTCTTGCAATAAATTATACCTTTGTGAATGTTATAATGTTCAGTTTCGTTGTGCACGGCTAAAAACAGGTTTTAAGCAGAATAATCACATCTCAATCTCTCACCTGCTGAAGTCTTTGTCCACCTCATACTCATACCTCATCCATGTGTTTCTGTACACAAAGAACTCCAGGAAGGCAAGTACAGCCATGAGAGTGAAGGCTATCAGAGACACTGGAGAGAGTATCAACATGAGTCACTGTGGTGAGATTAAAATCACAAAATGTTTGTGTTACAGCTTTGTAGGGGTGTGTGTAGATTACCTGTCCCACCGCTGGCTGTGGACTCCACGTAGCTCTCGGGAACTTTGGGGAAGGCGTCCAACTCCTTCACCAGAGTTAGAGCCTTCTTCTTGGTCAGCCTCCTCATCTTAGGAGCAGCAGGAGGAGCAGTGTAACTTCAGGTGAATACCCTCATAAAGTGGACGTTTATTAACGGATTGGTTGTTTGGGATGACCGTTGAGCTGTCAGTCATACGTTTGTCTTCTCTATACTGACGTTGACCATGTCAACAACCGAGCTCACCGTTAACGTCAGCTAGGTTAGCAGACTAAAACATGAACAAACAAACAAAAAACCCGTGATTGTACAGTCAGGTAAGTGTTTCTTGTAAAAGTAAAAAATCGAGAAGCTCCCAAATCCCAAATTTCCGGTGAGTGTGTTATGGACAGAGGTTAGCTAGTGTGTCGTTTGACCCCGTTGTCTGAAAATAAAACAGCTCCCATTCGGACTTAGCGCCCTCTGTCGGTTCAAATTGCAACACGTATTTCATGTCTGAGAACACGGTTTAAAACTTAAAATTGCATTAACATTAAAGCAGGAGGAAAAAAATCCAAGGCATTCTGAGTTAATAAAAATGCACTTAAAATTACAATTTGTTACACCAACGGCAGATCGGGATCGGGAGGAGAGCATAAATCAAGTGAAATCTGTTTTCCCGTAGACATGTGCTTCCCTCTACCGTATAACCTGGATCCATGGCCAGATTAACGTCGTTAACCTGAACCTAACCACTTATCTGTTTCCTCTTTTCTTTTTTTTCAAATTTTAAAGCAACTCATGTTCACAAGCACCACAGACCTCACCCATAATCGAGACCTCTCTAACACAGTTTCAACAAAAAACAACATTATAGCTAACAGTAGGACTTATTTCAGGACTGTTGTAATTGACTACATTTGTTTTAGCTCGGGGTTCATAATAAACCGACAACGTGATTCATAACTATGTTATGGTACATTATCATATATGAAGACTTCGTATGTGCTATCTAATTTTCCTTTAGCAACTAAAAGCTTTTGATTCAGCCAAGACTGGATCACAAACTGGGCAAAGCAGGCACCTGCCTTGGACCCTGTACGGAATTTACCATTAATATCATTAGGCAATTGCTTTGTGGTCATTTGATTGTTTATATATGTAAGGAGCAGCTCCTCCTCGATGTTGAGGGCAAAACAAGCTGCCTAACCTGTATCTCTTCTTATCTGTGTTTTGTGTACAGTATTCCTCTGCTGGAATATCACATGGCCTCATGGATGAATTATGGGATGGTGGTTCTGTGGGTACAGATGCCACTAAGTTTAACAGTCTTGTTCTTTTAGCATATTCAGAGCAAACATATTATTTAAATCCACAAATTAAAACTGTATAAATATGACAGAAATAACAAATGAAGTCCGTTTTAGGCTGGATTCCCCCCTTTCAAAACTGTATCTTTAATGGGTAGCAATGCGGAGGAGTGGTCAAAACATTCAGTCACACAACCTGGTTTCCAGCTCTTAGGGCGAATTGGTATCACATTAAATGCTGCTAAAATCATTCATATTCCTGGTTTTAACAGGAGTACACAAAATAACAAAGCTGCAATATGTGATATTGTTAATTGTACCACAACAACAACAACAACAGTATTAACTACTCGCAAATCCTAACACATCATGAGACCCTCAGTCAGGTGTGCATCTCTTCAAACCTCAATACACATGAAATATGCTTATAATCACACGATTGAGGGTGTTTGCTCGGGTTTACTGTCAACAAGACAGATATATTTATAGTGAGATACTATACAACTTCAAGTATTATCTGCATTATTTTAGTGCTGTGCAGGTGTATGACAAATAAGCATGCCAACAAATATCCAGTGTCCTCATTGACAGTTCATAGCCATCTATAACATCAAGGTTGTGATGCTCTTTCCAACAGATAGATTAATGACTGGAAAAGTCAGCAAATATTGTAGAGGCACCTGCCCTGGACCCTGTATGGAACAAAAACTCAAATATACAACATGACCTCCTGCTAATTCCTCCTAGAATAGTTGTAAGGATGAAGCTCAGTTTCAAGTGACTTAAATTGCTTCACAAAGTGTCCGCTCTATTCTGCAGGTACAGAGTCAGGACCTTCGTCCTGTAGTACGGCGGTCTCTAGGACGTAAGAGGTGGGCGTGTCAGGCGGCTCTTGGGAGAGATCTTCAGAGCATCTGCTCACAGTGGGTGAGATCACATCTGGACTTGTGTCACATGATTCTGTGCTCTGCTCAGAGGTGGCTGTTGCGATTGTTGTAGCAACACTGGGGGGAACTGGGTCAAACTCATCGTCGTCCTCCTCGAGGATCGGTGACTCATGAATATCTGCCAAATAAGAAAAAAAAGAACAGAGATATTTTATATTATAGAGATATTTAGACATAACATTTGAACAAGCTGATTTGTGGAAGTTGATTGTGTTAATGAAATGATGAATGGAGAGAAAAAGCTAACTCACTGCTGAAAGCATCTGGGTACTGCTTAGCAATCTTCCCTTTTAGTGTTCTGGTGAGGCAGAAGAGACAAAAAAATCAAGAAGTTGTATTTGTGTGTGCATAAGTTTTGCTCTGCTGGTGTTGTGTTTACCTGATCCTTCTAAAGATGCTGTCCAGATCTTTCTTCATCTCCACAAGGGTGCGGGTGTGAAGCAGAAAGTGCTCATTCATCTGCTGCAGTCGCACGTTAGATAGCCCATTGAAGTTGATCAGCATTTCGTTAGTTTTCTCAAAGCGGTCAAGCCTGTTTCCACAATAAGTCACAATAAGTCAGCAAAGCAACAACAATGTACAGATGGCAGTTTGCAAAGAACAAGGCACGTGGCAGCATCACTGTCATGTACAGGTGAACTGACCTTCAGCAAACAGCACATTTCATACTTAAATATAAAGAAGCAGAGAAGCCAGATGAAGCTGATCAGAGCACAACACTCACATGTGTCTCTGAGCTTGGATGATGGCGTTAACATCCTCAGAGTTGACCATGCTCAGCATCCTGCCACAGAACACGCCAGATGCTGTGGACTCCGCCATGATGAAGATCAAGACGAAAAACTGAGAATACAAACTTTAATTCAGAAAAGTGCGAGTAATGTAATAATCACATAGATCAACAACCTAAGCACACTGAACCATGAACTCACAGAGAAAGCTTAATAATAAACCTATTCAGTGCTGATATCTGCATTAACAGCTAGTTGGATTCAATGACGTTACTTCACTTAACATTCTGTCCAGGGAAGTCAACTCCAGATGTTAATTTTCTCTGAGATATTTTAATCGCAGGATTTTGTACCGATGAGTAACTTTATAAACAGTTCAGCAGCCTGGACGAAATTACACCGTTAGCTTGTAAGCTAAAATAACAACCAGAGCTACAACATTCATGTTACCTACCCCAGGTTCCACAGTGGTTGTTTTTAGACCTCTGTCCGTTTAAAGAACAGATTTGAAACTACATATGCAGCCTAAAGCTACACCTGACAGCTGGCTGTAAAATAAAAACAAAGCACATCCGCATTTTTTTTTTACTTCCTGTCATAGGACTACCGTTTCCGGTGGGGTTTTTTTTTCATTTGATTTTTTTTCTTTTCTTTATTTAAAACTGCGCAAATTACAGATGTACACCATTCAGGAGTATGATTTAGGCATATTTCTGTCTTTCAGATTAATAATTATATAATAACAATAAAAACGAATGTGTGGGACATCTCAGACCTACATAAATACACAGATAAATATCAGTGAAAAGTAAAGCATTTTTCTTAAACAAATGAAAAAAGTATATAATTATAAAGCACATGCAATGATATCCAAAGTAATGGATGTTATGATTTCCTTTCTACTCAAATATACATTCAAAAAAAGCCTTATTATAGCTAATGATTATCTATCATGCTATCCATGATTTATGAATGTGGAACATCCAAAGGAGGCATATCACCCAAAAACATTCCCCAAGGTACAATTTAAAAATTCTGCTTATTTCATCAGAACAGAGAAAGCATTAGAGTAGTACAGTGATATTTATCTGGTGGGAACTGTTTGGGTGTATTTTGACTGTGCTGTGCTGCGGATATGTGGATAACAGACAGACTATAATGCTGCATAATGCTGCAATAGTTGACAAATATCTTGACTTATGCAGGTGTAAGCCCTGTGCTTTTATTTTCTGTAAGAATCACTTCAATAAGCTTACTGTACATTTTCTGTTATCATTGTTTTGAAACATTTCTAAATTATAAAAATAAATTTGCTAAATTTCAAAAGCCTAAATAGGAGAGGACAGTTTTGTGCCTTTTGTTCCTGCTGAGTTCATGTTTATCCACCTTATACCAATAAATTCAGTAACTCCACATACTTCCAGAAAACTCACAAAATTACTTTTATTGAGGGACAAGTAAAAAAAGTACATGATGTATAAAAAATACAAAACCGCTTTGTCTAACTTGTAAGCTAAGTAAATGCATAGCAACAGTACATGCAAGTCTAGAGTTAGGTATCCTACTGTTCTGTAACATTTTTAAGCTACAGGCTAAACAGGGGAAAAGTACAGTTTGGTTGCAATCTATCATTCGTTTCACTCTACATGATACAGATCTAAAATGATGATACAGAATAAGTTAGGTTGCACGCAACTCAACTGATGAGTAAATAAATACTTAACATCATTTCACAAATATTGACAACCGGTAATTCAACACAACGTTAAACAAAGCTTGTGTGAGAATTACATTCGATTTCTGATGTACAAAAACCATGCTAGACGTAAGCTAAAGATGAGAAGAATTTGGAGTATTACACTTCTAAGTGGGGATGCAGTGATATAAATAAATATGAAATAAATAAATAATGAAACCCATATAAGAGCCAAATGGCTCACCCAACCCCTTATGTACATAACACACCCCCTGCTCCCAACTACAACATCACATGTATGAAATTTCATATTAGTGTTTGTTTTTAGAATACCATAAACATACATACAAATGACCTCGGACAAGCACAAGTGTCCATAGAAAACCTGCATTGATTTGACATTGGGTGAATTTCAATGTGCTTTGGCTTTCATTTGATAAATAAAGTAATATTAGGCTATATATCACAACATGTGTGGTATATAAGAGGCAATGGCATAGAATTTCAGCTTGTATAAAGTATTTTACCATATACTGACCGGGAATGAGGGAAATCACTGATATTGATATTGCTGAATGACTATAGACCGATTGTGTGTTTTGCTGTAGTATTGTGTGGTATTATTATGCAAAGACACTTATATTTTTCCTTTTTCTTTTTTTTTTTTACATATAAAAATAAGTTAAAACTTCAGAGAAATGGATCCAAAAAAATAAAAGTAAGATTTACAGTTTATATAAGGCCATGCAATTTTAGTAGACTCATGCATCAGATCATTAGGTCTTTTGGATGAGTGGCTTGCCATTCATGCAAAATGCACTATGTGTTGCTGAGGCCACGATAAATATAGCTACTGTCCCTTTTTGTTCCTAAATACCAATCCAGAATTAACACTAGCACTGTCTGTAACACATAATTAAGGCTGGTGTATTTGCTGTTGAAGCTGTGAATAGGCCTTATTTAAATGGGACCCACATACGTATTTGCACACAGAGACGCTAATCCAGTCTACAAACACAAAATCTTTGATAGGAGTGGATGTCAATGTGAATAGACACAAACACAAGGGCTACTGTACAGGTCTGTGCTCTGTTAATGTAAAGTGTCATTCATTCCAAAACGAGATATCCACCATTTAAAAAAAGAGCTATCAACTCTGAACAAAGAAAGCAAAACTAATCCCATCATATCAGTCATCTTGACATATATGCTTATAAAACATCCATGTTGAGAATGGTTTCAGCTGTATGTTTGAAGTGTTGAGAAATGAATTTCAAGTAGCACCTTTTTCTGTGAGTAAGTGGATCTATTGCGTTTTGGAATAAATTCTTTTAAATGTACCAGCAAACTAGAGCTCCAGCATTTCATCTAAAGTAGATCAAAAACACTACGGATGATGGCCCACCGTCAGGATGGTTGGAATATTAAATACAAAAAAAAAGACAAAGTGGAAACACAACAGTCCATAAGTTACCGTTTAAACATAATAAACAAACCTCCAACATTATTGTGGAGAAGACCAAAGGATTTTCAGCTGCTTTATGATTGAAGGCAATCTGAGGCGACTTCTTTCTATAAGTGCTTGAGAGAAAAACAGCACCCCAAGATTTCTTCAGAGATGTGTGCAAGGGGGGTTTTTACTTTACCACCCTTCCTCCGCCACCACCACGCTCCTGGTTGGAGGTGTTGTCACGGTAACGCATAACTGAGCAGGCTCTGCATTTTCCTCGCATGTTGGCGTCTCCTTCACTTCCTCTCCCGTCTGGGAATTTTGCCCGCTGACATCCATGCCCACCTGGCCCTCCACTACCTCCACTTCCTCCTCCTCATCTTCCTCCTCCTCATCCTCTTCCTCCTCCTCTTGCTGCTGCTGCTGTCGTTGTTTGTTGCGGCAGCACGGTTTGAACAAATGCGGGTCGATGAGCACCTCCCCAAAGCGCCCCTTGTAGATTATTCCACAGCACACTTTTTGCCTACACAAAACATGATACATTATTCCTATTCAAATGTATGCAGCAAGACCACAATGTGAAAATATGCTCCATGGACAAAAATGGCTCTTTTTTATATGTAGTATCAAAAACAATCTGCAACGTGTGCTTCTAAATCCTAAATAATGAATCTGTAGCACAAAGAAGTGCCACTGCCTCACTGTCTGACTTACCTCTTCCAGTAGGTGAGATCCAGGAAGGAGAAAACAGGTGAGCGGCTTGATCCTGGGCTCAGCTCAGTGTCAGACCCGTCGTCCGACAGGTTGCTGTAGCTGGGAGACTGAGCAGGAGAGGCACTGGAGGTGGTGCTGTGAGCATCTGAATCTAGTGGGCAGAACCAAGTGCCAAAAGTGAAGGGAGGATGAGGTGTTACTTGTGTGGTGTGTTTTTAACAAAAGAAACAAATGAGTGAGTGCCATTAAACATGTAATTGTATCATTGAATGAGAAAAATGCAGGGCTCACTGTTTCTTTTAAGCTCTTTCTGCAGCCTGCTGATCTGGCTAGGCCGCGCTTTCTTGGAGACGGACTTTATCTTCTTGGGCCTGGAAGTTATCTTTAAGCTGGGACCTCCCCTGGCATCCACCACCTGTATGGAGCAGGGGAGAAGAAAGGCAACGAGAAATGTTGATTGTTAATGAGTTCCCATGATTCAAGTATTTAATCAAGGCCCAGTAATAGCTCAACCATATGATTCTCACTCACGTGGTTCCAGTTCTTCTTAGTTCCCACAGGTAGCTTTTTCCATCGTTTCACCAGGAGCACACAAGCATTACAGATTTCTCCAGAACGCGTTTCACTCAATCTGCAAGATAGTAACACCTTGTGAGGGAAAATTTTTCCTATCAATAAGGCATGTTAAAATATACATATTATTGCTACAAACTCCACGTGCTCAGGTGTGCCTCCTACCCGAAACAGCTCCTGAACTCCTTCTCATATCGCTTGCTGTCCGTGAAACGAGAGCTTGACGACTTTGCGCGGCAGATGCAGCAGCCGTCCAAACTCCTGTACATTTTCGGCTTGTGAAAGCCAAACATCTGAGTGCAAAAAAAAGATTGAAATATTTACATCTCAGGCTCTCATCAGTGTGCATCATGTGTTAACTGCAGTACCCCCGCCCCCCTCAGCCGTAGCCTTCTAGTTCAGATCAGAGATCGTAGTTTATTGCCCCATTTCAGATTATTCAAATGTAAATGAATAGATATGTATCAAATATTTTTGTCACGATCATAGAGCACTAAAAACATCCGCGGAAAGCGATTTTGTTAATGCATCTCTCCGCTCTGACCCACATGGGGGAAGTAGGTCAATAGTCAGACAGCGTGTCAGACAGATCATGTCACCAAGCTGCGCTCACAGGATGCACGCTTCATTTTGGAAACTCAAAATATAAACATAAGCACGCACTTAGTCTCAGCCTTCATCCTGCAGATAAATACATTATATGTTATGGTCAAAAATAAACCACGGAATGCAAGAGTATGTTGCATACATGCATGAGAACTGCAAAAATATAAATATGTCCGAGGTAGAATCACTCGAAATGCAATAAGCGCGCCGATTATGCAGAGGAATTATGATTTATGTTGCTAGGCAAAATTTATCCTCCACAGCACATGTAGACCTGAACTGCGGCAAAACTGCGAGCCGCGCCCCCCAGACTGGGTTTTTTTTTCTTGCCATCAGTCCTCGGGGTCTTCTGTCAGTGCGGTGCCACAGAGAGCAGGCAAAGAGCAGGGGAAATAAAAACCTCTCACTCTGCTGGTTATATCAGATACTTTGTTAGCGGTAGAAGATGAGAACTAGAAAACAGTCGCCCAATGGCTGAAGATAACAATATAAGTATGAAAAAATGACACGGCAAAAAGACTAATTGTCAGCAGTGAAA